TTTTTCCAAGATTGCCCTGGCATATGAGGAAACGATTCAAAAGCGAGTTGTGTGCATAGATGATCGTTGTATGTTTACATGGCAAATGCAATTGTGTAATTATGTGGAAAATTAACAGGCACTTTCCAAAAGGGGTCAACGGCAGCCGTGAAACCTTGACTGTAATATTGAAAGAGGAATGTTAACCTTCATAAAAAAAGGCAAAATAGAGTTAAGAGGATATCATTGTGCAGCAATGATAATTAAGTCTCTTCAGGTAACCACCCCCTCCCCTTCGTGTCTCAATAGGCCCGATCCTGCGCTGAAATGTCAATGATGATGAGTCCCCTCGACGGCTCTGCAGAGACGGAGGGCTGATTAGCTTATCACTTGGAGAGCAGGCGGCCGATGATTATCGCCCTCAGAGCAGCACAGCCTGATTATCGAGAGCTCTTATTAATGACTCATCTTTAGCTTTGCATTGCGCTATGTTGTTGTTTGCATATTTGTGTAGCCAGTGCTACACAAGCTCCAGTATCCATCTGTGATGGTTTTATTCCACGTGGGAATCGCTGCAGAGGATCTCAGGGATGAAAAAGTCTTAAATGACGTTGATCTACCTTCTTGCCTTAAAGGGCAAAACCCAAAACATACATCTGCCTTTCTTTTTACCTCGTCACGCCTTCAATTAAAAAAACAAAACAAAAAAAACAACATATTTTGGATGTAGCTCTGTAAATGTTAAAATGAACATCCAGATATGCACTAGAGACACTATATAGAGCATCTCATCTGGCCTGGGAATGGCTCCGGATCCCCCAGGAGGAGCTAAAAATTGAAGCTTTAGACAGCGACATCTGGACAACCTCGCTTTGCATGCGACCGCTGCAGGCCGACTCTGGATAAACGGCAAAAGGTAGAGGGACGCGCAGTCAGTTTTAGTGCTGTAATTAAAATTCAGAAACAACATAAAATTTAAAGAAGCATGAGTTCAAGACCTTCATCTGTGAGCTGCACGTTACAGCCGATTTTGCGCTCTTGGCCTTTGGGATAGGTGCACAGTTATTTTAATTTTTCTCCATGCAGGATATTTTCATTTATTAATAACTGGAATAAGCCTAGAAGCTTTAAAAAACCTATTTTTTTTTCAAAAGCAAAGGGCAGTTTGAATAAAATATTCCAGCAATTTTCTCAGTTTAAAAAACATATTTTGCTTCTTTGCATAAATTCTGGTTGAATACTATGTAGCAACCTGACCCTGGAGCCTCTGTTCGCTTTAAAAAGTGGTCCGTAGCGCAAAGGTCCCAGGCCCACTGTGGTCGATGATGTCAGACAGACAAAATGTCAAGAAGTGTATCTGGGGAGAACTGATGTTCTGTGTGTTTGTGGAGAGGTTTGAGGCAGCGGTTGTCATTGTTGCCGTGAGAGTTGATCATAGGTATCATTGCTGGGTTAAAATGTCAACGACCGTGCAAAGCAGCTGGATGCTCTGCAAGTTCCTACTCGGAAGGGCTTAACGATGTGTTTTTAGCACGTGATATTTCCCCCCCTAACTGTTAAAAACCTTTATATTCATAACACTAATGACCTTGCTGAACAGAATACTTAAGGACGCACCAGTCGGGAAAGTCTAGGGTGATACCGATGTTTAAAAATGACAATTTAGCAGATGTGCAATGCGAATGGTTTTTAAATGTCGTTGTTATTTATTTCCCCATTTGTCACGGGAAAAAGAGAAATCAGAAAGCAACTGCACTGTTTTCAGTCTTCCGACTCTTCGTCACACAATCACGCATTGAGTGATTGATGTGACACAATGGTTTAGCATCAGCCGCTGCCATATTTAAATGTCTTATTTGCTGCAGAGCCGGTGGCTGCTAACGAAGTCATTATTATCCAGGGCATGGCTACGGACTCGGTAATCAAAACTCCTGAAACGTAAGAAAAATCAGTTGCAAAGTCATACAGTAAACTTATTTTCACACGTGCGTTGAAGTCCAAAACATTTCAAACGTTATTTAACCATCTGACATCTTTAGCCTGTCAGCTTCTTTTTACTAAGCCTGTGCGATATTTGATTGAGAACTGAGTCGGTATTTTCCTGGAGATTTAACAGAAAGCTGGTGGACTTTGCATCCTGCCTCTTGCTCGTTTTACCTAGCCAGCACTCTTGCCAGGACTAGACTATTTACAGCTGTTGAGAGTGTGTCCCGTTGTCTGCTAAATGTGAGAAAGGGAAACGCTGTCCTGAGTTTGTGTGCGAAAACAGCTTAAGTCAAGTTTAATCTGACATCCGCCACAATACAGGCTGCTCTCACGTTGGGACCTGCAGTTAAAAGGCTCAAGACTCAAATGCCAAAGGCTCTTCCTGCTGAGGG